TCCAATCTACCAAACGTTTCAAACAGTCCTGCCTGCCAAAATCAGGCAGACACAGGAAGTGCAGACTAAACAAATGTAAACTAAATTTTCTGGGATTCACTTTCTCACAGAGCAGGAAGTCTCAAAAGGAAAAGAGCACAAGGTCCCAATTTACCTTCTCAGCTGCTCTGCCCATCACTAATATTCCAATGACTCAAAAGTACAAAATACACTTGGGCCCAGAGTAACCCAAGGCTGCCAGCTGGTGACCTGTCTGTTCATTGTATACAGGGATGATGTTTTCTTCTCTGGCCCAGGACACAAAGCCTGACACGCTGTACACACTTAATAAACATACTTGGGGACACTAGAAAAAGTTTTATCTGACTTCGGAACCAAGAATATTCACGCTTCACATGAACAATGTTTTTATTTTTGTTTTGTTTGTATCTCACAGACATTGTGGACTATAATGTCCAACTACTGCAGAGTTCTGAGAGCAAATATGCAGCCCCCTCTGTGAAGGGTATAATCTTTACTGAGAGCCTTTTTAGCCTCATTCTTGGTGCCGTGTCATCGCCCCACGCAGTTTTGTATGGTTTTCCTGTTTCTCTCCCGTTGATCTATCCTACATTGTTTGTGTTTTTGATGCCCATGCCTGGCATACTACCTGGCACATTAGAGACAATAACTAGTGATTGGATTTTATTAAATATCTAACCCCTCTCTGAAATAAGACACTCTATTTTTTATAAAAGAAAACCTTCTCCTAAGGTGATCCTGAGAATTGATAGCTCCCTTCCTATAGTCATAAGGAGGGAGGCTGACCTTTGAGGTATGTAATTCACATACCCCCTCCACCCCCACCCCACCTCCTCCCCACATCTTTTACTTTCAGGTGAAGACCTGCCACTTTGGGCTTCACACAGGTCTACAAAGTACGTCTAAGCAAAGCGCAAGAGGGAGTTTCTCAAAACTTCTGTCTATCATGAGAATAAAAATAACTCTATTAATGTAAAAGATTCTAGAAGTGAGCCTGAGGAAAAAAATATTTTTCAGTGACTTTCCAAAGAGTGGGAGAGAAGGTGCAATTGCTGAGCCTTTGTTGCCATGTATGGGAAATGACAGTCAGGAGAAGGTGACAGGACCCAGGTTTCCCCAGTCGGGAGAGGAAAGGTCATGTTGCGGAGCCATTTCTGTGGTTTTCAGTAATAAAGAGAATTTAAGGGGTTTGGGAAAGCAGAGGGTTTATTAACAACATTCAAGATTAAGAAGAGAGATGTGAGTCTAAATCTTCTGCTGAATGACTGCCTCAGAGGTTTGCTAGGTTTATATATGCATATGTTAGGGCACAAAAGAATGACTTATAGCCAAGGGAAAAATAAAATATATTTTAACAAATTTTGATTAGTACTTACATGTCTTGCATATATAAAATTATTATTCATATATTGCTTTGTATTATGCATCATGCAGACTCTAAAATTAAATCTTTCCCATGCCATACTTACCACTAAAAATATGAAATGATCTAAAAATGCCAGGATTTTTATTTTTTCAGCCTACATTACATTTTTCCTGGTAAGTGTAGATTACTTTGTAGAGTTTTCACATATTAAAATATATACTATGTATTCTAAACCAATCATATCAAATTATCCTTGAAACATAAGATGAAATCATAAGATCACTAAATCTTCACCACAAATTCACACCAGCCTCAGAAACATACACATAGCTATAGTCTGAGCCACAGAAACAAGAACCTAGAATTCAAATACATGATTCAGCGTAATGTCAAAGCTCAGACACCAAAGCAAGGAATACAAGACAAGGGCCATCGAAAGGACTGTTCCTGTCAAAACCATGTAGTTAGTAGTTTTGCTTTTCTGAGAGTTTTCATAGGATAGGATATGCACTTGGTTAAAAACCATTTGGAATTCCAATAAGAAAATATGTTAAGGAAAATATACTGAGGCTTCTACTATTCATCATTTAATCCCCACACAAACCCTGCCAGGGAGGCTCTACTAACCCTGTTATGTACAAAAAGAAGTTGATTCTGAGGAGCAAAGTATCTTCCTTATAAAAACGCAGTAACCAGATCCCCTGAACACACGTCAGGGAGGGGCTCTGCAGACTCCATCGTGTGTTCATTATCACAACAGAGGGCCCGTCAATAAGGAAAGTAAAAGAATGATTGACAAAGGGAACAGTTTTCAGGGATCAGTAGCAGACTTAGTGGGAGCCGGGTTACATATGTTAGAAGGTGGCAGGTGGCCAGGTTAGAGAAACCTAAAAACACACAAGCAAAGGAATCTTTTCTCCATTAGCAATGCGGAGTTGTGCTTATATGTGCCGCTGGCCCTCAGGACCCAAGTCCAATCACGTATGGAACACATCTTGCTAGTTGGTCTCAAAGGTAATTTATATCTCATTTTACTTGGAAGAATCTTACCCAGTGTCAGAACTATTGTCATTTGGCTGACAAATGTTTCTTGAAAAAAAATTTAAAAGCCATATCAATTCACAAGAGGATAAGAAAAGAAAAAAAAACTCCAGTTTTAATGGAATGCCGTTTTTGTTGAGATCATTTCAATAACTTAGTACTCTTAGCCACGGAATCTAATACTATAAACTGCCTTGGCATAAAAATATATAAAAGCCTGATGCATTTGTAATCTAAATTGACTCTGTATGGATTCAACCACAAATGGCTTGTCTGTGTTTTTTTTCTTTTTAATACTTTGCTTCAGAAAACATTTTTTAAAATTTCAAGGCCTGATCTGGGTAGCATTGAAGAGGGGAAAAAAAATATCCCCTCACTGCCTTACATCTTTTTGACCCAGAATGCATCCAGCTAGTGGAAAATTTGCTTCATGCTGGTCATAGGCATATTTTCGTACTAAGTAATAACTCACTGGGAAATCGTGCTCTTGGAGATACTTTCAGACCTTTAGTGTTGTTCTAGTACCAGCTCCCTGCTGTACTTCATTTATGGGTGTACTCACACTTATTCTTAGCTAATTAAGTCTAAAGGTATCAACCAACTCTCTTGTTATGAAAACATTACTTTAAGCCTGGTTTACAATAAAAGCCAACATGCGCATCCTCCACTCTTAGCTAGTCACAGAATTTTCCTGCTGTTTAGAGTCAAATAATCCCATGCTTCCAGCCCCGCGAACAAAGCAAGGAGCCAGTATACCCACTAATAAAGTCCGGGAGAAGAGTGAGCCAAACATACTCCATTAGCAAAACTCAGTTATTTCATAGCTCCTTGCTGTGAGATCTCTAAGTGTAAACTGTTCCACAATTCCAGGACCCTGCCCCAAAGCCCCCACCCGCGGACCTCCTCATTCGCCATCGCCCGCTTCGTCGGTGTCACAGCCCACCCCGGGAGTGGCCGTCACCTCGTAAAAGCCATAGATGGGACTATAATAACAGTAAATTGGTAGCAGGGTACAATTTTGTGATTTTTAAAATAAAATCAGTACTTTGACAATTTTTCAACAGAAAAATAAGTGTTTTTAAATACGCAATCTTTATTGTATTTTTTCCATTACCATTTAGTGCCCTTATGCCCCCCCAACCCCAGCAATGACCACACTGTTGTCCACGTCCATGGGTCCTTTTCCCTTGGTGCTCGATCCCTCCACTCTCTAACCTCCCTCCACGCCCCCGCTAGCTGTCTTCTATCCCAAATCACACCAAAACACTATAGATTAGCAGCAACCTTGTCACAGACCAACTTAACTCAGATAAATCAGTTGATAATGTGTTGATAAAAGAGACAGGGACTTTTTTTTTTCCATATTGGGATATACCTCACCATAGGGAGGAGAAAGAGTTAACCAAGGATCCATACATCTCCCAGATGTATGACTTAAATTTCCATTTTCCTAACTATTTAAAAAATGAGATTTACTGTTACATGAGTTTTGTCACTGCCCATTTACCGACCAAGGAAAGGGGGTCCAAGAGATTTTATCCCCTCAGAAACTGCTTTATAATTAGGAAAATGTGTTCAAAAATATATCCAATAAATAATATTTTTAAAACTACAAAGTTTATTAATTTTATCTATATTCAGAGAAAAGGAAGAGGGGACAGAGAAAGGAGAACACAAAGAAGGAACAGAGGGGAAAATGTAAAGCAAGCCAAGGGGAGGGGGCCATGCAGGGAAGGAAAAGAAATAAAAAGAAAGAAATCAAAGGATACAAGTGTGTAGAAAGACAGAAAGGAGAGATGTGTACAGGAGATAGAGCAAGAAAGAAGGAGAGGTAGAAAGATCAAAGGAAAGATACTGTAAATTCTCAGATGGGTGCTGGTTAAAGAGTAAACTGATTCGGTACTGTTTCAATTTTCCTAGGTTTATAGAAAAAATACCTTATTATGCTAACTGGGCATGAAGCATTCATCATAGCTCTTCATTCAATATTCCTACACTTTCCAATATTCTTTGTCAGCAGCTCACCAAGGTGTATAAGTTTTCTTCACTATAGTAGCAAGGTGAACAAGGTGACTTGGCTGAACACAGTAAGCCAAGCCAAAAGAATAAGAGAAACTACTTTCCCTGAGAGAACTGGTAGCTTTTGATGTTACAATACATGGACAGCTCTGAACAGACAAAAGACAGAAAGGTTGACATTCTGATTCTATGGAAAAGTGTATTTAATAGGGAATAATTAAAACCCACTGTATTTAACTATGGCAAAAAGAATTCATTAATGTCATCCAACTTTAATTAATATTTAAACATATAGGTGGGCTAGCAAAGTATATCTTGGTTGGATACCAAAAACATTGCTTTAACCAACATGTGAATTCTTAGGCTTTCTGGAGGCACTGGTTTGAATGCAAAAAGAATAACCACCTTGCTTATTTTACAGATCATTAAGTGGGCCTCAATACCCTATCCCCTCCTAGTACCAGACACACACACACACACACACACACACACACACACACACACACACACACACACCGTGTCTTCTGGTGACCATTTATCTCATTTTCCACAGTGCTCCTATATCCCTAAGTGTGGAAAAAATTTTGAAGAATCCATGTCTCTGGTGAATGTTGTCATGGAGAACTTCAGGAAGTACCAGCACTTTTCCTGCTATTCTGACCCGGAGGGAAACCAGAAGAGTGTCATCCTCACCAAACTCTACAGTTCCAACGTGCTGTTCCATTCACTCTTCTGGCCCACGTGTATGATGGCTGGCGGCGTGGTGATCATTGCCATGGTGAAACTCACACAGTACCTCTCCCTGCTCTGTGAGAGAATCCAGCGGATCAATAGATAAACGCAAAATGGATGAGATTATTTTTTTTAAAGCTCAAATACTGTTTTCTTTCATTCTTCACCAAAGAACCTTAAGTTTGTAATGTGCAGTCTGTTATGAGTTCCTTATACGTAGAGCAATAATGTAAAAGCTGTTCTATATGCAAACATGATGTCTTTATTATTCAGGAAAAGAAATAACTATGTTGTGTTGGTTGTTTTCCTGATCTTGTTTCAGTGCTGGAAATAGTACTTCCTTCTCTTGTTCAGCCAAAATAGGGCTCAGTTATTCATTTGCCAAGGTTTGTGGAGGAATGTAGACAATGTTAACGTGGTAAGTTCTGTGTTTTGAGTTGTCAGATCTCTTGAAGACATTTCTGTAATATTTTTTATTATTCATTGTTTACTAAAGCTGCAGCCAAAAATATTTTTTCTTTTCTGACCCAAAACTGAGCTCTACAGTAAGTGAAGGGACCAGATTTCCTCCCTAAAAGATGTTAATGCTTTTTCCTTGTATTTCTTTCTACCATATCACTGTAAAGACAGAAGGGTTAGGGGGAAAACCCAGCCAGCTATTTTCCTTTAATCACTTTCTATTCATAACTTTAGATTTCTTTCAACTGATTTTCAGAAAAATCTGTTTTCAATAATTCTGTAATTTTTTTTCTGTGATTTAAATAGAAAATGAACAGAGCCCTTTTCCATGTAAGACCCTGCTGCTGCGTGAGATGACACTTGCAAGGAGTTGAGTTACCTGTGAACTGACTGAATGTTGAGTAGATGCTCCATTACAATCCAGAAAAGTCTATGTAACTAAGATACTTGTGTGAAAATCTTTATTCCATTTCAATTGAACTGTTAGATGGTAAAATTAAGATCCTACTTGCTGGTCAAGACTAGTGGACTTATTTCAATGGGTAAATCTATTGTGGCAAATTAACATGCTGGAATATTGCTCTTTGGGAGTTTATGTTTAATGAATGTGTAGTCTCTCTCTAACATGTGTTTCCTATTGGGATTTTAAAGCTGTGTGCACAGAATATTTGTCCCCTGTACATGTTTTATTTTTTCTATTTTCAATTGCCTTTTTTGTTGCTAGATTTTTATACACAGAATAGATCGTTTTTTCCAAACACACACTTGAACTGACTAACAGATTTAAAGAAAGCCTTTGTTCACATTGCCATTCACTCACTGTGGTTAGGGGGTGGGGGGAATAAGGGACTGGTTTCAAACATAAACATTCCATCTTTTATTTAACATCAATATCAAAAGAAGAAGACAAACACCTGTCTTTTTCATCTATATTTAAATACCTTTTTGTAATGTTGTTTTCTAGGTATTGTACAATTTTACAGATCATATCTGTGGAATGAATGGTGAAACTAATCTGATGAAGTGAAAGTTTTCTGCAATATTGTAATTCATAGTTTACTTTTCATAAGCAAATAAATCCCTAGGGTGTTATCAGGACTTCAAATGTGTAATTAAGTTTTTTTAAACAATCCATTGCATCAGCAAGATTTGAATACCTCTTGTATTTCTAAGCTGACAAGATGTGGTGATCCAAAAAATTATGATTCACTATCTTTAAAGATATTTAAAGAGATTATAAAGAAAGGTTCTTTTTTAACCCCTAAATATATACATACAATATTATGAACATTTGGAAAATATGATGGAAAATTCAATTCCTACTTCATCTTAAAATCATAATTCTGAAGACAACAGAGAAATCTTTGTTACCACAGGGCCAAAATTTGTAATCTTTAATGTTCCTTGGGCCTCCCTTCAAGTGAGCTAAGTGTGAAACACATGCAAATGAAATTTTAGATGAGTTATTCTTTATTTTCCTCTGATTTTAAATTTAAAATATCAAATTTGATAAGACTATAAAAATATCAAAATAATGACACCAAAAAGAAGTTAACCAGTGCCTTCTTGAATTCCCATAAAGCAACATCCCCTCCAAGCAATTTAAATGTATACACAATTAAGTGCTCATTATTAAAGGAAGAACTGAGACTAATAACAATGTTTTAAATGCTTTGCAAGTGTTAGCTAATTTAATCTTCCTAACAGCCTTGTTGGAGGGGCAGTTAGCCCATCCCACACATGAGAATGTTGAGGCTCAGTGATGTTAAGTAACTTCCCCAGGGTTACAGAGATACCAAGATGATGGGCGGCTGAGGAAATATCCAGACTTTAGCTTTCCTGTTGTGGTAACCATTTCCATGGCTTTTGGGTCTTCTAGGTGACAGTGACAGATACTGAGATTTGGAAGGGGTTATATGGATGAAGAAGAAAGAGCGCTGGGCTAAAAGTCAAAATATTTCATTCAAGACATGGTGACTAGGGTACTTTAGGCTCTAAATTAGTCTCTTGACTTCTTTGACTGTCACAGTAGGATACCAGGCCAGCTGACCATGAAGGTTCCTTTAAACACTAACATTTCATCATGAGCGGAGAAAGAATGAATTCCATTATACAACCTCTGTAGCACAGGCCTAAGTCTCAAATAGAATCTACACATATTAGTCCATGGATTAAAAAAAAAAAAAACTTCCCTGTTGATACTCCCCATTAAGTAGCATACCTCTTCTTTAGGGCCCAAAACTTTATTTATATCTACCAGAAGCAGAGCTCTGAGTCTCCACATATTCAACAAGGATGATTTCCCCCACAGAATACCTGTGCTCCCAAACCACTTTCATTATCCAATTGGTACATTCCATCTAAACCTTAAGTGATTTCAGATTCCCTGTGCTACAATTATATTAAAAGCCATAAAGTGGTAGATACACCAATGACTGCTTGAAAATAGCTACAATAAAAAACCTCAGTTCTGTAAAAGTCCACTGGTGAAATGCCAACTGATTGTAATGATGGTGTAAGCATAAAATACATCTTGTGTAGACCACATGGCATTTAGGATTCCCAAATGTTACTCTTTTTTCATTGTTGTAAGTGACCAACAAAGTGATTATGTGTGGCATATGTATAACAAATACTATATGTCAATATGTTTCAATATGTCAAGCCATAAGCATCTTACCACATTCCAATGGGTCAAACATCTTGACATTGTAATCATTCCACTGACATTAATAGGGAGATCTGTAGGGCAGGAAAATAATAGGAGCAACTGAATCAAACATGTTAAAACTATACTTTTAAAGAAATGATTTATTATTCACAGGTATAATTAAATTTCCTCCCCTCCCCCACCCAAACATTGAAATGAGCAATGTTGGTGCAAGTAAGGTAATTCTCATTGTCCTAGTAGAGAAGTGGAGGTGATTAAAAGTTAAACATTGTTCCCCCTTGTCTCAGTTTCTATTTTTCCCCCTTTCCCCTTGTAAACAATTCAGTAAAAACAATCTCATTCTGTAGTAACCACTCCAATGTATGTACCATGTGAAAATTTTGACTCAAGGGACAAAGTTTCAGGACTCTCCTAAAAAAGATATCAAGGTGATGTGTACAGCAGTACTGAGCAGGCAACTTTCAAATTGAATCTGTTCCACCTTCCTGTATTTGCATCAATTTAAGGAATAATGCAAGTACATAACACTGCCTTCTCTCATAAGAATTAGTCTGTAATTTACTAGAAGAATCGAGATAATACATATTGGGGGGAAAAATGGGCCTGCAGTCGACATTGGTGGGCATATCTACAGAGGATTGATATGAGGCTTAACTGGATGGATAAGTCAAATGCTTAGCACCATATATAGTACATAACAGATGCTTACCAAATGGTAATTATTACAATTAATAGTAGCATTAATAATATTGGTATGACCACAAGTAGTATATAGTCTCTTGGAGCTGCAACAGCTCCAAAATTTTTTCCCCAAAAACTCACACCAGTGCATAAAGCCCTTCTATAACATCCTTGAGAGTGATCATCTAGTGACAGAGATGGTTACTACTTGAATCCTCCCAGCTATGGGATAGATGACCAGTTAATAAGAAAATGCTAGAATGTTTTCCTGATATCAGTTTGAAATCTGCCTCCTTATATCTACACATTAAATCCACACAAAATCAGATCAATACTTCTGTCACTAACTTATGCTATTAGTGTCATTTTATGTTAAAAATGGAATAGGGGATGGGGAAAGAGCAACGTCTATTTGTTAAGAATATAAGACCATGAAAAATAGCCCATTAAGCCAGAATTATGACTAAAATGAAAGTGTATAAAGGTCACATAAATGGCACCAACTTTAAAAAAATAATATAGCCATTAGAACCTAAACATTCATGGATGAATTAATTGATGAGCTAGCTAAACTCTCTGATGCTCGTGTGGATTTTAATCCTGCACGACCTCTCAAATATGATTTGGCCTTCTGAAAGGTAAGACTGTTTGAAATTCTACATTCTGTTCTTATTCAACTTCATGACAACTAGATTAAGTTGTTTGCTAAGTAGCCAGGTTACTCAGGAGCATAGATGTGTTCCTCACACAATGTTGCTACAGTGTGCTGTGGATTCATCTTGGCTAAGATATCATTCTCCAGTACAATGCCAAAACATTGGAAGGAAATGTCAATTCGTGAATTCCAGTCGTGACTTTATGAGTAAATGTTTTATTTAGGTAGGAAGAGAAGTTGTTCTCTGAAATCAACATGATCACTTAATTAAGGCTTCCAGAACTGTTTTTCTGCCAAGTTCTTCTAAAACAAATTTAATCTCAAGTCCATGTAAATTGTAATGTGGCTCTTCATCAGCGTAGTATGATATCAGCCATGGAGAAGGCTTCAAGGCCCTGTACACAATCCCACCACCTATTAGCACTATTAGTAGAGCCACAATTTTCTTAACTTCTCTTCATAAAAATAAACATTTATCTCCCTGTCTCTCTCTTTTTCTCTTTACTCTGTTTCTCATTCTTAATCTTTATACAGCAGCAAAGATGACCCCCTACAAGTACACATTCACAAACTCCCTTCTGCCTATAAACACAAAAGGAGAAAAGCCCAGCATTCCTATCAGTCCTCAAAAATGCTAGTTCTCTTGTCCGCTACTGGGCCCACCCCTGTAATGATGGAGGCAGTGCACATTATTTGCAGCCTCAACACATGGTAGTCAAATAATTCCCTAAAGGAAAATGAGTATGTGTTAAAGGCTAGAGGAAGGGGTGCGGACAGGCAAAAGAACAGATGTCCACTTTAGGGAACTTGG